GAAATTGCACAACCAGTGAGATGGTACTCTCAGGAAAGTACACATGTGTCTATTTCAAGGTGTGTTCTAACAGGAAAAACACATATAGATCAGTGTCTGAGATGCTGTCTATTGTAAGGCAGCTAGCAAGTTCGAAGGAGAATGTGAGCAAAGGTAGTTTAGACATGAGACAAGAAACACAAAAGGTTAGACTCTGGAGATGGACACATTGAGGAAGGCTTTTCTGAAGTACTTGGAGTGGTGTAGCACTCGAGCTCGCGCTAGGCTCATATTCAGCCATTTCACGCATCACGTCAAATGTCCATCACACAATATCCACTTCCCGATGCAACCTGATGCATATCCGCCAAACCCGACACTTTGACTAGCAGACCCAATGCATCAGCTGCATCGGACCTGATGTTTTTCCTGTGCTCTTGTCCTATCCGTGTCCTGTCTTGTCAGCTAGCCCCACTAGGTGCATACTTGATTATTTTGCACATTACTCATGTCGTAGCCAGCACTATTACATGTTTTCCCATAGTCTGCAGCGCCTTGTATTTACTTACATGTACATTGGACCCGAAATTCTTTGGCCACTACTTTTGCCTATAGGATTCTGGATTTCTACGTACTTATATATATTTGTTTCCACATAGCATATTCATCATCCAAGTAGTAGGGAGCTGTTTCCCGACACTTTGTGGTCAAACCCGATATTCCGTAGTTCTTAGTTGACATTGTGAATATTACCACTCTTTCTACCGCTTGCTATACCCGACATTCTTTTCCTAACCCGACACAAACCTGTCAAACCCACACCCGAAACCCACTAATTCACTAAACCCAAAAACATCGGCCAACACTTTGGCATCAGATTCGTAATTATACCTTCAGATTTTGTTTCTCGTGCTCGGACTTTTGACTGTTTATAGATTGACTATCTACAGACTTATTCTAATAGCAAACCCCTCGGGTTGAACACACTTGTCTAGCAAGTATAGCAGACTAGGCTGTGCAAGACCACTACAACATTTTATATTGCTGGATACTTACTTCATATAGTATCAAGCATTGTTGTATCTTTACAGCAGGGATCTTTTAGGATAGAATTCACTGCTTTCTACGAGGGTACATGGCTGTATATAAATGCAAAACGGTAAGGGTTCTTGGATAAGTTTTAAGACGAAAGAAAATACTGGAAACTGAATTAGTGGCATATGAGCGCAATGTATGTTTTAAGATAAACGAAAATACCAGTCACATCACGCTTCACATCTGAGTCATGCAGACACATTCCCCTACCAGCACAGCTTTTTTGCCCTTTCTCTCGCTACTGTTCCTCATTCTCTTCTTGCCACATTGAAAACTGTCAAAAACCACTATGTGACTGGTATTTTCGTTTATCTTAAAACATACATTGCGCTCATATGCCACTAATTCAGTTTCCAGTATTTTCTTTCGTCTTAAAACTTATCCAAGAACCCTTACCGTTTTGCATTTATATACAGCCATGTACCCTCGTAGAAAGCAGTGAATTCTATCCTAAAAGATCCCTGCTGTAAAGATACAACAATGCTTGATACTATATGAAGTAAGTATCCAGCAATATAAAATGTTGTAGTGGTCTTGCACAGCCTAGTCTGCTATACTTGCTAGACAAGTGTGTTCAACCCGAGGGGTTTGCTATTAGAATAAGTCTGTAGATAGTCAATCTATAAACAGTCAAAAGTCCGAGCACGAGAAACAAAATCTGAAGGTATAATTACGAATCTGATGCCAAAGTGTTGGCCGATGTTTTTGGGTTTAGTGAATTAGTGGGTTTCGGGTGTGGGTTTGACAGGTTTGTGTCGGGTTAGGAAAAGAATGTCGGGTATAGCAAGCGGTAGAAAGAGTGGTAATATTCACAATGTCAACTAAGAACTACGGAATATCGGGTTTGACCACAAAGTGTCGGGAAACAGCTCCCTACTACTTGGATGATGAATATGCTATGTGGAAACAAATATATATAAGTACGTAGAAATCCAGAATCCTATAGGCAAAAGTAGTGGCCAAAGAATTTCGGGTCCAATGTACATGTAAGTAAATACAAGGCGCTGCAGACTATGGGAAAACATGTAATAGTGCTGGCTACGACATGAGTAATGTGCAAAATAATCAAGTATGCACCTAGTGGGGCTAGCTGACAAGACAGGACACGGATAGGACAAGAGCACAGGAAAAACATCAGGTCCGATGCAGCTGATGCATTGGGTCTGCTAGTCAAAGTGTCGGGTTTGGCGGATATGCATCAGGTTGCATCGGGAAGTGGATATTGTGTGATGGACATTTGACGTGATGCGTGAAATGGCTGAATATGAGCCTAGCGCGAGCTCGAGTGCTACACCACTCCAAGTACTTCAGAAAAGCCTTCCTCAATGTGTCCATCTCCAGAGTCTAACCTTTTGTGTTTCTTGTCTCATGTCTAAACTACCTTTGCTCACATTCTCCTTCGAACTTGCTAGCTGCCTTACAATAGACAGCATCTCAGACACTGATCTATATGTGTTTTTCCTGTTAGAACACACCTTGAAATAGACACATGTGTACTTTCCTGAGAGTACCATCTCACTGGTTGTGCAATTTCATAAAATAAAAATGTTATCATTGGCAGGTTTCAAACCTGCACTGTCCAAGTGAAACAGATTTTGACTCTGATAATCACTTGCAATTTTATCTTTAGCAGGTTTTGAACCCATGCAGACAGATTTGGATTCCATCATATCAACTGCTTGGCTAAGACCAGTCAGATGCACTACTAATGAGCTCATTCAGAAGTGAATTCTCAAGATATATTTGTTTGCATTTTGGTTCTAGTATTAGTTTCCAATATCCTTTTTGAGTCCAATCATATGTGATCCTTCCATTGTTGGTTTTCACTTGTGACCCAGCTGTTAATATCCCAAGATATCACAAACATCATTGGCCCACTATAGTGGTCTGTCATCAGCACTTTTTCAGAGCAATTGCTAGATAAACAGGTCTTGAAGTCAAAAGCCCCAGGAGAAGTCTGATGTTTTTTGCAATAAGAGTAAAATAAATCATGGTGACCATACTATTGAAAGAACTGCCTTGAGGATTCACTTTTGATTGAGGTCATTGCAAGTACATTCAACTGGTATTAGCCAAGCAGTCAATACAACAGAATCTAAATCTGTCTGTGTGAGTTCAAAACCTGCTAAAGATGGATTTTCCAAGGGATCATCAGAGTCAAAATCTGTTTCTCTTGGACTGTGCAGGTTCAAAACCTGTTAATGATAAATTTTATTTTCCATGAAAACCCACCTGGTTTTCTGAGAAACTCATCTTAAATGGTCTTAGTCATGTTATTGCCATGACTCTGGTCTGCTCACTTTTTGAACTCTACACACTCTGAAGGTCTGTCATTGTCAATCCTAAATCATTTGCCCATGGACATTTTCTATATCTATTTCTGTTAAACCGAGCAGGCTTAAAACCTGTATAATAACATGGTTTTTCTTTTGCCATCAAAACTTACCTTGGATGCAAGCTCATGAGTCATTACATCCCACTATTTTGTGAGGTGGTCAAATGCAGATAAATGTGCCTTGAGGGTTCACTTCTGATTAAGTCCATTGCAAGTGCATCTCACTGGTCTTAGCTAAGCAGTCAATACAACAGAATCTAAATCTGTCTGTGTGGGTTCAAAACCTACCAAATGTTAAATAGGCAAGTGATTGCTAGAGTCAAAATCTGGTTCTCTTGGATAGTGCAGGTTTGAAACCTGCAAATAATGAAATTCATTTTCTATGAAAACACGGCTTGAAATTTGCTTATGGTCAGTTTGTTTGCCAGATGATCAAGGTTGTGTTTAGCCATGTGGCTGTCATAATAGGGTCAAAATCTGTTTCTATTGCAGTGCAATAAGTTCAAAACCTGTGGAACATCACATTTTTTCTATAAGAACATGGCTTTCATATTTGCTCACAGATAGTATCTCAGACATTGATCTTTTGTTTTTCATGTAAGCTTGTGCACCTGAGGAATCAGTTGAATTCAATGATGAGTTTTCTTTTCTTGCATGCACTTACCTTGACAAGCACTAACTTGGCTGGTTGAACCCCTTTGTTCAGTGTGATGCAACACACTGTAGAAACAACTATTCAGATGGTGGTATACTGAACTATGTATTGGGTCTTGCTTGCCTAAGCTGCTATGCTTGTAGTGACAAGTGCATTTGACCCTAAAGGGGAAGCAAGTGCAGCAGAGATCTAGAGATTGGTGTGGAGGATGCTGCTCGTTGGCCGACGTGAAGCACAGTGAGTCGATGGCATCAAACCAAGTAAAAGGAACAGAAGCTGGTGGAATGAGCAAGCTCTAGCTACTGACAGGCACTAGGTATATGTACCTAGGTGCCTCGAGGCCTGGACAGGACCCCTGACACCTCCAAAAGACCCTCAAAACTTCTGAAAGCTCCTAGCTGCCAACCCCTATCGACACAGCAGGAAAGCACATGAGACGTGAGTGCAAGAATGAAGTGTTTAGGGCAGCCGATGCGTGGGAAGGTAGTGCAGGAAAAGTGCAAGGTGGGTTTTCAAGAAGAGATTCATAATAGACATTAAGGATATTCTTATTGCCAATAGCTACTAACTATAGCATGTGATGGATGAGCTTTACACTGATAGTGAGGTGCAGGGAGCTTCTATATGATTCAATGATGTAAAATATGAACTACAGGCGCTTATATATGTCTAAAAATACACCCCTGAAGCAGAGCCGAAGCGAGTAGGTAAAGTATGTAATGAGGGTTCATGACATGAGAATTAAGCAATCATTAAAATATAATATGGTCTGATATGGAGAAAATGATATGAACATGTACCAGTGAGGTTAGTTTGGACAATGGATGGATGTGCGACATAGGGTGCTTCGAGCGCAGGAAAGCGCACAAGAATGCAGTGCTTGGAGTGGCCGATGCATGGAAAGATAGTGTGCGCTTGGTGCGGGAGAGTTTCGCTTCACATAGAGAATGATTGAAAAGGTATTGGCACAAGTTGTGCATCAAACTGTACTTTGAGACAGGTCACATATATAACCTCTGCAAGGCCACAGAGATATCAGTCTCTACAACACTCACCCTCATCCAACAACTCAGCCTCATCACCAAATCTGTCTTCATTATATACCTTGTTCATCTTCCCTGGATTTTGATGGTTGGAGTACATAACTTTCTCTTTGCCATTGGCACTTGAAATAATGAGCACAATGACCATCTATTTCAATAATCTGTGATGTTAGATCAAAAATGTGTGGACTGGTGAGTTCAAATCCCTCATAAGGTGTTCTGTTTTGTGCTTGATTAATATGATATTTGCATTGAGGTTATTGCACATACAAAGCTCATCTTCTGTCATCTCATCATCTTTGTACAATGCATTCTCTTCTTTCTCAGTATGCACAACAGCCTGCTGACTAGAAATCAACTCTGGACATGGAGACAATGGTGCTGTTACAGGCCTATTTTTGTCAACTAGCTCATCTTCATCCATAGATCCTGCACCATTGGTGGAAGTGTTACTAGGCAGTAGGGTTTTTTTGGCCTTCTTCAGGTTCATGTTCCCACTATCCCCACTGCTGTTGTTTTTATGCTTCTTTGACAAAGTTCTAATAATCTGTTCTTCTAGAGTAGCTTTGGCCTTCCCAGTCATTTTGATAACTTGTTTGGCTGTGGCTGAAAAGGTGAGCTGCATGATGGGAAGTACTAGTAGGTGATGAAGGTTTATGAGTGTTGTGCAGGATGTTATGGCAATAACATGGCTAAGATCATTTAAGATAAATTTTTGAGAAAACTCTTCATAAGAAAATGTCAAGGTGTGATTTCGTAGGATAAAAATATTATCATTGGCAGGTTTCAAACCTAATAAATACATTCAGTAGTAAAACCTCAAGACACATTTATCTGCATTTTGTCACTTCTTTCAATAGCATGATCATTATTTTTTTTTCATTCTGCTCAAACCCACTAATTGCAACATTTGTTTTCTATGAAAATACTGTATACTCTGACATTTGCTTGGGCACAGACATCAATTTCTAACATCCCTATTGGATATTGTGCAGTCTTTTTATTGTCAGTTTTCACTCATGAGCCCACTGTGATGGTTAGCCATCTGCACTTTTTCAAGGAAATTATTAGGTGAGTCTTGAAGTCAAAAGCCCCAGCAGAAGTCTGTGTCTTTTGCAATAAGAGCAGTATGCAAGAATCAACGATGACCATGCTATTGAAAGAACTGACAAAATGCAGATAAATGTGCCTTGAGGATTTACTTCTGAATGAGTTCATTAAAATTAAATCCAACTGCTCTTAGCCAAGCAGTTAGTGCGACAGAATCTAAATCTGTCTGTGTGAGTTCAAAATCTGCTAAAGATGAAATTGTCAAGAGATCACCAAAGTTAAAATCTGTGCCTCGGGGACTATGCAGGTTTAAAACCTTCTAAGGATAATTTTCATTTTCCATAAAGATGCACCTTGACATATGCTCATGATCGGTTTGCTTTAAAGCTGCTGAGACTAGTGTTTAGCCAAGTGGTTATCATAGCAGAATCAAAATCTGTTTCTATTGGAGTGCAACAGGTTTGAAACTTGTTGAATGTCACCTTTTTGCTGTAAAAAAATGCCTTAAATATTGAATCATAGACAGTATCTCAGACACTTATCTTCATCAGTCTTAGCTGAGTTATCGCTAGAGTCAAAATCTGTTTCTCTCTCTTTGAACTGTGCAGGTTTGAAACTTGCTGATGGTAATATTTTTATCCTATGAAATCACACCTTAACATTTCCTTGTAAATAGTTTTCTCAAAAACTCATCTTAAATGGTCTTAGCCATATTATCGCCATAATAGATTCAAAATATGATTATCCTGGACTAAGCAGGTTCAAAACCTATATAATTGCAGGATTCACTTCTGAATGGATTCATTGAGAGTCAAAATCTGTTTCTCTTAGACTGGGCAGGTTTCAAACCTACCAATGATGACATTTTTATTTTATGAAATCACACCCTGTCCCATACCAAGCACTGCATTTTTGTGCACGCCCTACATTATATGTCCATCTATTGTCCAATCCAATACTACTAGTATATTTTCATCATTTTATTTTCATGTCATGCTGAAAGATACTCTCAGCTACAGGCCACAATGTATAGATGCAAGAGAAGCATTCTCACTACATCCTGCTGCAAAACTAATCCAAAGTAGTAACACCTGGGCTGCATTGAAAAAGATAAAACAGACACAAATGATATCACTTTGATAAATACTTTAAAATGTCTGACTGTTCCTATTTTCTTGCACTTGGGTCTCTAAGAATCTATACACTGCAAAATATTTTGCAAGCAGGTTTTGAACCAGCATGTTTTGAAAGAAACAGATTTTGACTCTATTGCAACATCTACTTGGCTAAGACTAGTGATATGAAGCTCTCAGGAAAGTACACATAAGTTAATATCAAGGTGTGTTTTAATGGGAAAAAAAAATATCAATCATAAGGAAATGTCAAGATGCGATTTCATAGAACAAAAATGTTATCATTGGCAGGTTTTAAACTCACACGTTCCAAGATAAACAGATTTTGACTCTGGTAATCACTTGGCAATTTCATCCTTGGTAGGTTTGAAACCCACATAGACAGATTTGAATTCTGTCGAATCAACTGCTTGACTAAGGCTGGTAAGATGCACCTCTCATGAAAGAAGTAAATACTCAAGGCACATTCATCTGCATTTTGTCAGTTCTTTTAATAGCATGATCACTATTTATTCTTTTATCCTTGATGCAAAGTTCAATATATGACCAAAGTCTTGATGCAAACTCAGAATGATAAGCACAAGAGCAATTTAATTCTCTCCAAAGGTCTTGACTTGGTTGAAGAAGAGGAGCAGACTACACATCAAACTTTCAAGTTTAATCCCAATGACCTGGGTAATGAGAAGGAATACACATCTGTTAAGGCAAAGATTCAAGGCAAAGATTCAAAGAGCCATCTGACCACTATTTGCTCATGTATAAAGTTGAGGTGCACTGTATTTGAGACCCTTTCATCATCATGTTGCTCTCCTCTTGCTTTTGAAAGTGCTGTAGTGCAATCTATATTTAATTCATCTGTTTAGCTGAGGAAGAACATTGTGAGTGACAGAGAATAGTGGACTTGCCTTGTGAATTCACTTGTGAATGTTTTCTTTACAGGTACTTCTAATTGTTCTTAGTCAAGCAGTTAATATAACAGAATCAAAATCTGTCTATGTGGGTTTAAAATCTGCTAAAAGTAAAATTGATCAAAGGATCATCAGAGTCAAAATCTGTTGCTTTTGGACTGTGTAGGTTTGAGACCTGCCAATAACAAATCTATGTTTTTTTATGAAACCACACCTTTACATATGCTCATGGTCATCAGAGTTGTGTTCAGCCAAGTGGTTGTAGTTTTCGAAACTATACAGATATCCAGTCTGACTTTTCTTCTTGATTATCATATTCCAATAGCTACTATCTATGGCTCATAATAATGAACCATACAGTGGTAGTGCACTATAGAAAGCTAAGTTACAAAAACCAAAAACAGAGGCACATATGCCTCACTAAACATGCTCCTACAAGGCAGAACCAAAGTGCTTGTAAAGGGAGCATGTAAATATATATAACTTGGTGGGAAATGACATGTATGGAACCACCATATCATAAGTGCATGAATTCACTGAATGCTGAGCTTTGATATTTTTGTAATTACATTAGGAAATGTTAGGGTGTAATTGCATAGAATAAAAATATTATTACTGGCAGGTTTGAAACCCACAAAGTGCAAGAGAAACAGATTTTGACTCTGGTGACAACTTGACCAAGGCTGATGAAGATCAATGTTTGAGATACTGTCTATCAGCAGATATTCAAGACATGTTCTTATGGAAAAAATGCAACATTTGACAGGTTTCAAATCTGTTGCACTCCAAGAGAAACAGATTTTATTCTGTCAGAATGATCAATTGGCTAAACACAACTCTGATGAGCTTATAAGCATACCGACTATGAGCATATGTCAAGGTGTGTTTTCATTAAAAAAACAAATTTTTGTCATTAGTAGGTTTCAAACCTGCACAGTTCAAGAGAAACAGATTTTGACTCCGATAATCACTAGGAATTTCATCTTTAGCAGGTTTTGAACCTCCACACACAGATTTGAAACAGATTTGGATTCTATTGTAGCAACTGTTTGACTAACACCATTTGGATGCATGTTTAAAGAAAACATTCAAAAGTGAATCTGCAAGGCAAGTTTATAGTTCCCTGTCACTCACAATGCTTTCCCTCAGCTGAACAGATGAATTAAATACAAACCACAATACAACACTTTCAAAACAAAAAGCAAGAGAAGAGCAACATGATGATGAAATGGTCTCAAACATAGTGCACCTCAACCTTATACATAAGCAAATAGTGGTCAGATGGCTCTTTTGAATCTTTGTCATGAATCTCAGCCTTGACAGATGTGTATTCTTCCTCATTACCCAGGTCATTGGGATCAAACTTGGAAGTTTGATGTGTAATCTGTTCTTCTTATTTAACCAAGTCAAGATCTTTGAAAATGTGGAGCCACATCAGATGGAGCCCAGAGATGTTTTTGGATACAGAAAAGTGCATCCACAAACATCATATAAAGCAGATATTTGGGAGCATGAGCTACAACATAAAAATACGCATGAGTCAACGTCAAGGTGTATTCTAACAAAGAAAAAGAAACACATATCATTCATGACAAAATGTCAAGGTGTGATTTCATAAAATAAAAATGCTATCACTGGCAGGTTTCAAACCTGTGCAGTTCAAGAAAAACAGATTTTGACTCTAATGATCACTTGATAATTTCATCTTTAGTAGGTTTTGAAACTCATACAGACAGCTTTGGATTCTGTCACATTAACTGCTTGGCTAAGACCAGTCAGAAGTGAATCCTCAATGTATATTTATCTGCATTTTGTTAGTTCTAATATTAATTTCTAACATCTCTCTTGAGTCCAATCATATGTGATCCTTCATGCCATTGAAAGAACTGCCTTGAGAATTCACTTGTAAATGAAAACCTGTCGAGTGACACATTTTCTGTATTAGAACATATCTTTGATATCAGCTCATAGACAGCATTTCAAATGTTGATCTTTATCGGTCTTAGTCAAGTGGTCACCAGAGTCAAAATCTGTTTCTCTTGAACTATGCAGGTTTGAAATCTACTAATGATAACATTTTTATTTTTAATCTATGAAATCACACCTTCATATTTTCCACATGAATCTCAAAATGAATTGGAAGGCTGCAATTTTCTGATGGCATTATGACTTTGATAACCACTGAACTAGGACCAATGAAGATCAAAGTCTGAGAAGCTGTCTCTGAGCAAATATTCAATTGAGCTAGAAAAAATGTTATCATTGGCAGGTTTCAAGCCTGTGCTGTTCAAGAGAAACAGATTTTGACTCTGATACTCACTTAACAAGGCAATGTCATCTTTAGCAGGTTTTGAACCCACACAGACAGATCTGGATTCTGTCACATCAACTGCTTAGCTAAGACCAGTCAGAGGCACTACCAATGAATCCATTCATAAGTGAATCCTCAAGATATATTTATCTGCATTTTTCCAGTTCTAACATCAATTTCTGACATCTTTCTGGAGCCAAATCAAATGATACATTTCTTTTTC